ACGCAAAAAGTTGTAATTAATAGTATGAGTTCTTCCGGGTCGACTGTACAAATGGGCGTGCCTCAGGGCTCAATTCTCGGCCCCTTTCTGTTTGTTGTATATATTAATGACTTACCTTACATAGTAGGGGATAACCATGATATAGTATTATTTGCTGATGATACTTCATTAATTTTCAAATTAAAACGACAGTTATTAAATTACGACGAAGTAAATAATGTTATAGCTAAGGTAGTCAATTGGTTTAATGTTAATAATTTGCGTTTAAATGGTACTAAAACTAAATGTATGAAATTCGTAACTCCTAATGTCAAACATGTTAATACGAATGTAATTTATGACGACTCCGTGGCGCAGGGGCTTAGCAATGAGTTCGAATCCCGCACGGATCAAATATTTGTATGGCCTACAAATAGTTGTTCCGGGTCTGGATGTTTGTCCTTGTGCAATTTATGCTTTTAAACTGCCCCTACGATACAAGAGAAAATCTTAGCGTAGCGGTAACGTTTTTTAAAAATAGAATAAAGAATAATTTTAAATGGGGAGGAACTGAGTCTTGTTGATATCACCATTTTTGTTGTTGTCTTGTTGAATCACACTAGATGCAAATCTTCAATGGCTCCCTCATTTATCAAAACTAGCTAGCAGACTTAGTTCTGCAGCATATGCTGTAAAATTTTAGAGAAGATTAGAACTCTTACCAGTGTTGAAACAACAAGAATAGTTTACTTTAGTTATTTCACCGTTTAGTTATTGACACCGAAATTATATTTTTTTTACAGAAGAGAGCCATTAGAGCAATACATAATTTAAAATCAAAACAGTCACTGAGACAAAAATTTAAAGAAATTAACATATTAACTCTGGCCTCTCAATACATTTATGAAAATGTAATGTACGTACACAAAAATAAAAGTAGTTTTGCAAAAATAAGTGATATTCATTCTGTAAATACTAGGAACAGATACAAGCAAGTGGTACCAGTTACTCGACTCTACCGAGTCAGTAATTCATTCTTGGGGCGATGTATACGCTTTTACAACAAAATCCCAGAAAATATACAAAATTTGTCATACACAAAGTTCAAAAATGTTATTAAACTAAGTTTGTATAAAAAGGGCTATTCTAATATTAAGGAATTTCTGTTTCTGTTCCTATTCCAAAAAAAAAATACCAGTTTTCAATTTTTTATTTTTGATATGTCTCAAAATGTACCACACAAGATTTGATTGAAGATTTGACGGGAACCACATGGTTTTTGTTACATGTTGTATATATATATATATATATATATATATATATATATATATATATATATATATATTTTTTTTTTTATATGTTTGCAGCACAATAACAACGTGTTCATTTTTCAACAGGATTTACCTGCTCCAGAGGGTGCTCCAGGCCCCGCACCCCGCTTCATGGTGGAGGTGTTGGACACGGCGGCGGCACGTCAGCGGCGAGGGACCGCGTCTGTACGCGGGCGTGGACGTGGCCGAAGAGTGGGTTGGTTGCGTGGAGCACCCTACGTGCAAATTTTTCTAAACGACACGGATTTGCCCCTGGATATTCAGGGGCAAATCCGTGATTATTCCATTAGGAGGGAGAGGTATGAAAGAAGAAGGATACCTGTAAATCAGGAAGAGGAGAATGTGAGGGAGGATGAATCGGAATGGGATGAAGATGATAGTTTTGAGTGGCGAGGGATGAACGAGTGGAATGGCAGGCAATGCCATTTTGTGCCAGAACAGACTGGGCCTACCGTTTCGATTCAAGATCCATATGAGGCCATGCATGCCATCTGGACAGATGACATCATGGCCCATATTGCTGACGAAACGAACCGGTATGCCGAGTCGGTTTTGGCACAGCAGCGTCCAAATTTCATGAAAGATTGGTTTCAGACCAATCTACATGAAATCTGGACGCTAATGGCGTTTTGGATCATGCTTGGCATTAATAATGCCAAGCATTAAATCCTGTTTCTGCAAGCACCCACTACTGAGGACTGACGTATTTCGCGCATTGTTCACGGAATTGAGGTTCCAGTAGCGGAACCTCAATGCGGCATTTAGTTTGGCCGAGGCGACTGACCGTAATAATCCGCTGCACCCAATGAGTCCCATTATCGACCATTTGAATGCCAAGTTCCAGGAGTTATACCAGCTGGACCGGAACATATGTATTGATGAATCGCTAACTCTTTGGAAAGGGCCAGTTAGGTTTCAACAATACATAAGGTCCAAGGCAGCCCGGTTTGGTATAAAAACCTTCGAACTGTGCGAGTCGGCCACAGGATACCTTTGGTCGTTCTTTGTGTATGTGGGCCGCGAGACAGGGAGTAGGGTACCGGCCAGCGTGTCCTCTGTGTTGAGGCTCATTCGACCTGTCCTCAACCGGGGGCACACGCTGTACATGAACAACTGGTTCAATTCCCCCTCCCTGGCTCGTTGGCTAAAACGCCACAACACGGACTGCGTCGGTACCCTGCGGCCGACTCGCAAAGGGGTTCCAGAAGCCATCAAACGTGCACCCTTACAGGAAGGGCAATTTATTGCCCGTGCGTCCGACGACGTCATGGTTGTTGCGCTACAAGATCGCAAGCGAGTGACTTGTATCTCAACATACCATGGCGTCTCGCAGCAACTATTTGCCGGACGTTCGGGCCACACTGCAGAATACAAGCTCGATTTGATAAAAGATTATAATCGGGCCATGGGGGGAGTTGACCGCCTTGACTCGATACTGGAGGCCTATCTAGTCGAGCGGAAACAATGTTTGAAATGGAACCGGAAAGTTTTCAAACGCCTTTTGAATATTCCCATTCAAAACGCAAGGGTCATTGTTGATAAATCAATCAACAACAAACTCGATGCCGTAGCGTTTCGGTTGGCGTTGGATGACGGCATCATGAACCGCCATCTCAAAATGGTACCTCGCCCACTAAGACCTGCTCAACATCAAAAACACCCTACCTTTCCATTACAGAGGCTGACAGAGCGCCACTTCATTCACCGCATACCCATGCCAAGTCGACAGACAACGGCAGATGCGGTGGAGACACAACCAAAATACTACATACAACGTGCGTGTGTGTGGTGCAAGGAACGCAAGCACCGCAGATCACTGACGTCGTATGAGTGTGAGCAGTGTGGGCTGGCGCTCTGTCTGCAAGAATGCTTCCGCGAATTTCATCAAACTCCGTAAAGGTATTTACGGAGTTTTGGGAAATTCGCGGAGTGTGATTGTAATGGAAGGGTTACAAAGGAGCAAACAGTCCACCTGATGGTAAGTGGTTGGTGTGGCCCATAGACCTGTGAGGAATGCCTCGTTTCCAGTAAAAAGGGTCAAAGGCTCTCCGGTTTCTTTAGGGCGATAAACGAGCACACAGTCTACCTGATGGTAAGTGATTGCTGTGGCCCTTTGACATCTACATCTATCCCTGACCTGTGAGGACTAAGATGGAATGCCTCGTTTCCAGTAAAAAGGGTCTCCGGTCTCCTCCTCGTCCTCAGTAGTGGGTTCAAGAAGGATATGAATGGGTATGAATGTTGACTGAAAGAATGTTTAATTTGAAAAGAAAAATTGTACAAAAAGGGTTATTATAATAATAAATGAATACATAAATGAAAATAACCCCGGTGAATGAGGTGATCGCCACCATGCTGGTTCTATAAAAATACATTCAGACATTGTAAAAGAATAAATTTATTGTAAATTCAATATAAAATCATTACAAAAAGTCAAACAACTGAATTTGATTATTGCCGGCTAAATTGCAAAAAATTATCGATAAATATACCAGCGACGCCACATCACTATTTGCTCCATACATTTGTTCAAATATATTTTGTTTCTTGTGTTTTGTATTTTGTGCATTGAATTGTATATGTTTATTGTAAATAATAATAAAAATGTACTTTTCTAAACATATTTCATTTGTGTCGAAACATATGTATTTGAGTGTGTTATATGTGAATTTATACTGAAAAACTTCCGTTTTCGTGTTTGAGTAAGAAATGTGTTATTTTTCCATTTTCATTTATTTTTACTGTATAATGTAAATAAAAAATAATTATATTACATATTTCAAATAATTTGGTGTTATATTTATTTCAAAATCACAAAAAATATTAGAGATATAGTGTTTCAAAGTTCATATAATAAAATTGAATTTCGGAAAACAAGGGTTATGTTTGATTCCTATTTATTTGTTTTTTTTTTGTATGGGTTACGAATAAAAACACATAAAAACATAAAACTATATTTATTTCCAAACATTTTCATATAGATTTCTCAAAAAACAAACTTGTGGAAATTATTTTATTAATATTTTCGTGGCTAAAAGTGGAGTATTTACTACTACTATGCTTTTTAGGGTAATTTATGAATTTTATTACTATATATGACATCCAAAAATTATTTTATTCGATAGTTTATACATTCAAGAAGAATTTCTGTAAGTTTTATTCAAAAATATTGTCTTAAAGTGAAAATATAGCAGAATTTGCAAGTTAGGGAAAATTTTTCATTTGCCGCCATTTTAATATGATCGAATTCGTTTCCACTACAATGGTTGGGCTTCTATTGTTATGGACTTTGGCCGTACTCTGTAAATATCTTTAATAGCTATTTTGGTGATATTGTAGTCCAAGACCAAGCTTGCTTTACCTTGTCAAACAAGTTTAAATCAACTCCTGAATAAAGTGCCACTAAAACCAGGCATAAACAAGCATATATTTACCTCATTAGAAAAAATGAGCCGGAACCAGGATAAAGAAGACAATATTTGTATTTTATCGTTTGATGAAATGTCTATAAGAAGACATTTGTATTACAATCAAAAGCTGGATGAAATACAAGGATTTCAAGACCATGGCAACCATGGTAGGACTGAAGATGTTGCCTCTAAGGCACTGGTATTTATGCTCACTGGGTTGAGAAAGAAGTGGAAACAGCCCATCGCATTTTATTTCTCCCATACAATAAAGGCAGATAGAATGACAATAATTTTAAAAGAGGTAAAGTATAGTATACTTTTTTGTAACTTTTGTTACAAGACTGAAAAATATGTATGTGTATGTTTCAAATTTACACTTGTTTATTCTTTTCAGATACTTACAGAATGCATTGCAGCAAAGATGAATGTGGTTGCTACTGTCTGCGATTTATCAGCTGTGAATTTGAAAGTTTTTAAAATATTAGGTGCAACATCAACTGCACCATTTTTTAATTTCTGTGGACAGGAAATTGTGTCTATACTAGATCCTCCACACCTTTTAAAGTGCACCAGAAATTTGTTAATGAAGCATGATATTGAAGTAACCTCAGATTTTCAATGCAATGAGAAGCCTGTAAAAGGTAAATAAAATATTTTAGTTTAGAGGATTTGACCCATATCATTTTTTTTTTAAATTAAAGTCTTGTTGTGCAGATAATATACATAATGTCTACAAAACAAGAGTCAAATTATGTACTTACTATATAATATCTTATATTTTTTTTAGGTACAGTGAAATGGAGCCACATTGAAGCATTTTATCAGTTGGACAAAACCAACCCCAATTTAGTTTATGCTCCTCAACTGACAGATAATCATTTGCGTCCAAATTGTCAGCAGAAAATGAGAGTAAAATTAGCAGCACAAGTGTTTAGCCACTCTGTTACAACTGGCATGTTAATGAAAATTGCTCAAAGTAAGTGAATTTATATAAATTGTGCAGCTGACTGGGAATCAGTATTGACTGTGAGATATATATCTCACAGTCAATACTGATTCCCAGTCAGCTGCACCTTAACCTATTGAAATTTGAGCCAAACACTGTCACTGTGGGTTAAGGTGGGGTAATGCCATGAACATATGTATTTTTCAGTGAAAAGTACCTTTGACAGTTAGAGATATTTAAAGAATTTTGACTGTAACAAATAGATACATTAGTAATTAAGTTTGAATTTTGTCACAGACTGCTAACTTTGTACCCTGCTGAACTGTACTGAAGACTTGGGTTTTATATATACATTGTCGATAGTAATATGAATGTGAGCAAGTTTGCCTACATGTTATTTAACAACAGAAATAAACAAAACTACCATTAAAACAGCTTGACTTTCTGAGAATCAAGTGAAGTCACAACCACGTGGTAGAACCATGCTGCAGCTGTATTAGTAGTATAGTTGTAGCACGAATGGGTCGGCACGACCGGGGAAGAACCACGCTCTTATAGAATATCAGCTTAAAATAGAAGCTTAACACTGCTGTGTTTCATATGGTGACTGTAGATAACCAGAGACCCCCTTTACTGGAAATGAGGCATTCCATCTTAGTCCTCACGGGTGACAATGTATCTGCATTTTGATTTGCAAACGAGGATAAATGTAGATGTCTATGGGCCACAGCAACCACTTACCATCAGGTGAACTGTGTGCTTGTTTGTCACCCTATGCTATAAAAAAAAGAAACTTAGGATGAGTTAGTTGACATCTAGTGTATAATGATATTAATCAAAATATATATATTAATGAAAGCTCCATGAAGTGAAATATTTTTCCTTTAAATGAAAATATAACTAATTAAACATTGTTTTTTTTTTCTTCAGATGAACTTCCGGCCGAAGCCCATGTGACAGCAACTTTCGTGCAAAAGTTTGACGAGCTGTTTGATGCTGTCAATGCAGACAGTCCAGATTTGAGAAGAGGAAAAAAATACTCGACAAACTTAAATAAAAAGACTCCTCATTTAGCTTTATTTAAGGGTATGAGAGAGTTCATATCGAATATGAAATATATAGGGAGTAAATCAAATCCTCCTTCCCAAGAAGGATGGATTCACACCCTTAATGCTATAGAAAGATTGTGGAAAAATTTGCAGGCTATAGGCATTAAGAGTCTTCCCACACGTCGCCTAAATCAAGATCCATTAGAAAATTGTTTTGGCTGCATAAGATATAGCTGTGGATCTAATAATAATCCTACAATAAACCAATTTATAGCTGGTATTAAAACTGCCATAATTTCAAATTTAAAACATTCAGGGCATAAAAGAAATTGTGAAGATGACACAGCAATTATTTCAAATAATTTGTCAAACTTTTTAACTCCAAATATCTCTCCAATTGTTAAATCACCAACTCTTCAGTTTGATGACACTAAAGAGATGGAAAATTTATTATTTGATGCAGTTGAAGCAGTAGAGCAGGGGACATCCGAAAGTCAAGCATGTGGATATGTGTGTGGTTTCATATTTAAAAAATTAAGGCACAGTAACTGTCTGGATTGCCGAAAAGCATTTTTGTCAGATACACAAGAAATCATACACATGTTCACAAATTTTAAAGAATATGACCCTGCTCAGAACTCCTTAAATTATGTGGGTAAAGATATGGTGACGTGTGTAGAAATGATGGCAAATATAATAAATACATACTTAAAAGCAAATGCCTATAGGATAGAAGTAAAAGTTAACATATTCAGTGCATTGGAATGTGTAGATTATAATTTTCTAAAAAAAATGTATCCATCATTTAGTATTGAATGAAAACCATTTAAAAGTAAGCACATTTTTTATAATAACTAAAAGATATTGTGTTTTAAGAAACAGAGATATGGACGACGAAGAGAAAAAGAAAACTCTTGAACGCAAAATGAGAATTTTAAAAAATAAATGATAATACATTATTTGTTGTTTCAATTACTCACACAATTTGAAAATAAATGTACTATAAGAACTTGAAGCAGGACTTTTTAATAATATGGAGCAAGATTTATCATAGCTATTAAATAATAATATAAAGACTCCATACTATTATAAATCATGCTTCATGTTCTTGCACTACTTATTAATTCAATTATTGCGTAATGCAATATCCTTTTTTGAAAGTTCCCGCGTATTTTGTTTTAATTGCTATTCCGCAATGGCGCCAGCGTCGTGTAGGTGTGTTGGCTGTGGTTGGCCTTTTTTTACTATAGAGATGTTTTTCTTCTCTCGTTAGAGAGTAGTATGTTCCTTGGTCCAGACACTTGGAGAGGGCACTAACCATCTCAATAAGTCTTCTTTTTTTCGTTAAGCTTTTTCGGAACATTTTTAATTTCGAAGCTCGACTTACGACTTTCCCATTGTAATTCTTCTATTTTATTCTCCATAACAGTAATATAATTCCTATCCTGCTTAACCTGTGTTTCAATTCGCTGCCTAAACTCCTCATTTTGTGCGGTTAAGAAAGAGACTGAGCTTTCAATGTTATTATTTTTCTGTTGTATCTCTTTAGTACGGTATTTACTTGTTTAAGTTCATTGGTTTGGGAGGCAGAAAAAAATGTCATTAACCTACGCATTTCTGTTCATTATTTCGATTTATCGCGATTTAAAAATATCTACGTAATATATCGATATTTTTAGGACAGAATATCGATATTTTTTACCCAAGCCTGTATTAACGTTTATTGTTAAGTTGGCAACATCGTTATCTATTTTTCGCGACGTCCATCTTTAGTTTTGTTGTAATTGTTAGAAAAATCTTGATACAAATCATTTTACATGAAAATTCTGAGACTTTTATCATTTAGTAATAAGGTAGATTATTTGAACTTAATCCATGGTGGCAAGGTGCGAACTTGTTGTTTGTAAGTTTGGCAAGTGTCACAGTTTTATTATCGTTTGTTCCACTAAAAAGTTTCACTGCAATTCATTGCTATTGACCTGAGTGCTAATTAATCAACCTTCAAATGTTTTCATTAAGTTACATATAGAAGATACAGTGCATGTTTACTGCACTAGCCAGTGTGGTAAACTCTTGGATTTTTGTTGTCAAAACAGATGATTTGTGAAAATGGATAGATTAAATCAGTTAAGAAACGAAGCTGGTGGTTCAGGAGATTCTACATTGGATACATCTTCTCCCCCAAGCGAGGCCTATTTAACTGCTAATGACAGCTCCAAATATTTTTCCATGCTAGAAGATGAATCCAGCTTCAATATTTCAAAAGATGCTGTCAACCCTGCTACAGAGGCGGAGGTCACAGATGATAACCCGATGATATCAAATTTGTCACCAATATCCAAAAAAGGTGATATGGCCAGTTACAAAATTGGTAAGCAAATAGAAGCTGCAAACATATTGTCTGGAGGTGTTAATATTTTCGATGATAATGACAACTCCTTTGATGGCGATGAGCTTGTTATTGATGATAATGTCGCAGAGGCGGACGAGAAATCAAATACGGTGCTGAAACTTACTGAAGATACTGCTCTTCCATATGATAAAGTTAATGATAATTTAGCAACTGTAATTGACGACTCTGACCCAGCAATTCCAAGTAAAGATACTGAAGTTGTGCTACAGATTGATGGAAAAAATGTAAATGCTATTGCCATTGGAAATGGTTTATATTTGTATAGGAAGGAGGGTCAAGAAGAACTTGCAGCTGTTCAGATTATTGATGATAATCAGCAACAATCAAGTTTTAAGTTCCTCAAAGTGCGGTAAGAATTTTTTTTTGTAATATACACAGCCTACATATTTTTTACATATACTTATGGAAAAATGTTAGTGTGTATTATCTCATTACAAGAAGTTGGGTTATAATTAGTCCGAGGTCAGTAATTTTATTTTGGACAAGTTCAATATAGAATTGCTGGGAGAAATCACAGTGTAGAATACCATTTGAATGGGATTGACACTTAATTGTTAGTTTATAAGAGAAACACTATCTGAAGAAATTAGTTGATTTAAAAATTATCATCATTACAGCTGTTTGCATGTCCATGGCTGAACATAATCATCCCCCAAAGATTTTTTTAATAGAGTTGGGCCGATTAGTACTTTGACCGATTGGCCGATTGATCGGTTAATAAATGGCCGATTAATCTGCCATTTCTCATTAACAATCATTGGCTGTGTTTGGCAGAAAAAAGCGCTAGCAAGCGCTTGTAAGCAAAATGGCGAAACTAAACAGTTTTCGGCCAGGATATGTTTGCTAACTTCAGTAGTGCTGACACAATCCACCATTTTGCTTATTTAATTTGTTTATTTTGAAGTAGAGTTTAATAAGTTGTTTTATGCAATATTAGTTTTAAGTAATATAATGACATAAATAAACATAGGTTGAAATTTAGAATCGTTTGGCAGGAATTTGGGGGAGTAAGGTGTTTTATTTGGTAGAGGTTTGGTCTACGATTGCAATAATACCACTAACATTCAAAGGTAATGCACCGTTATCGAAAAAATAAAAACTATTATAACCTTTATACGTAAAGTATGAAACATAGATTACTGACTATATACTAGAGTATGAAAAGTGATACATTTTTTATTATTAACTGAATTTACGGCTCTGGGTTCTAGACTTTCTGAGAAAAAATTATACGATATTACACAACACATATTACAGAATTTTGTGTCTGTGGCGGGAGCAAAGGCAACCTGACTATAGATATCGAATCCACTTTGACTTGTCTGCCCTACTCCTAAAGTGTTTTTGTAAAGCCGTAGGTGTGGAGGGAGAGCAGCCTCTGCCCGTTGTAGCAAATCGCAGGCACCTGTGTGAGCCGTAGTATGGTTAATATTGTATTATATATTATGTTTATAATTTAAATTAATTATAAATTTAAATTATAAACAAGTATCGGCAATATCTACTCCCTGTAATTTAATTTCCTTGCCTGCAACGTTTAATTACAATGACTATTCTGCAGTATCGACCCCAAAAAATAATTAACGTAGATCTAAAAAAGGAACTGATGTGGGTCTCAAACGTCTTAAACTTGAGTGGATAAGTAGAAAGAGAAAACGTTTGTGTAACAAAGGATTGCAGTATACTACGTCAAAAATGAAAACTAAAGCACCAAGAAGCATTAAAGTCAGTTGTGTCAATTGTCGTCTGCAATGCTATAATAAAATAAGCCAAGAAGTTTGTATTGACCTTTTTGATAAGTTTTGGGATACTGGTGATCACGCAAAACAATGGCAAATCATTGCCAAATATGTAATACAAAAAAGTAAAAAGACTGTCACTAATGTTGAAAGCGAATCTAGTCGTCGATCACACACTTTGCATTATCACCTTCCTATAAATTCTGACAATGGTATCATATTACAAAAAGTTTGCAAAACAATGTTCTTGAACACCTTTGATATTAGTAAAGATTTTGTGTATACTGCAATACAAAAAGTCTAAGAAAACAATGGTTTTACTCATGTTACTGATGACAGAGGTCGGCATAAAAACCATAACTATGTAATTTTAAACGAAATGAAACAGAGTGTCATAGATCACGTTAATTCTTTTACCCCTGTTGAGTCTCACTACGTTAGAAAACGTACAAGTAAAAAATACTTAGAACCTTCTTTATCTTTTTCTAAAATGTTTAAGTTGTATCATGAGTGGTGTTCTGATAATAATTATAATGTTAGAGTACAGACAGTAAGACAGTATAGAGATGTTGTTAATACTAATTTGAAGATAGGTTTTCATTTACCAAAAAAGACCAATGCGATATCTGTCATCAGTACAAAAATACATTTAGCCCTACAGATGAATTGAAAGAAAACTTCACAAAACATCAAACAGAAAAAGAAATTTCCCGTAAATTAAAATTAGAATGTAAACTGTTAGCTGTCTCTAGTAACAAAATAGTTTGTATTGTATTTGATATTCAAAAAGTTTTAAGCTCACCACATGGTAATATAAGTGTATATTATTATAGGCGTAAGCTCAATGTATATAATCTTACAATTTACAATATGGGATCAAACGAAGTGTTTTGTTATATGTGGGATGAGCAAACGGCTAAGAGGGGGGCTAATGAAGTGGCTAGTTGTTTATACGATTTTTTATTAAATTAGCTCTAAGGGAGTTCACGAAGTCAATCTATGGTCAGACATCTGGGTGGGACAAACTCGTAACCAAAAACAATATGTTTACTATATGTACTTATTAGCTGCTAAAAATTTTAAAATGAAGATAAGCCACCATTTTACCCAAAAGGGCCATACACAGAATGAAGGAGATTCAGTTCACGCTTTGATAGAAAAAACTGCAAGAGGTAGAGAGGTATATTTGCCGGATGAGTGGTATTCACTAGTACGATGGGCAAAGGTCAATGGGAATCCATATAATGTTATCGAGGTTAATCAAAACATGATATTTGATTTTAAAAGTAATATTAGCAAAAAAAATTGGACTAAAAATTTAAATAACGATAAAGTTATGTGGAATAAAGTAAAAAAAATTGAAGTTTCTCCCGATAATTACGGGTTGTTGGAATATAAGTATAGTTTAGGTGATAAAGACAGCAATCAAATACAATGTTTTAAAAAGACATCTACTAGATTATCCCACACTTGGAGCCTTTTTCCGAAAAAGCATACAAAACTTTGTTAAAAATTAATGTAGCAAAATATAAAGATTTAAAATACTACTGTGATAATAATATTATACCCGAAAAGTATCATACATTTTATAGGAATTTATTAACAACTGAATATGATGGGAAGAATGTAAGTGATGATGAGGTTTGAATGATTATAAGTACTTAATGATTACAACGTACTGTTTAAATTATTTGATTTATATTTACCATTTAGAAGTTTTTGTATTTTATTAAGAATAACAATTATGTGCAATCTTGATTTAAATATAATATACGAAGTGGAACTGTGATTAATCCGATCTCTTATCGTTAATAATTAATAAATACTTACCTGAAATTTAAATAAACAGTTGATTACTATTTTTGTTTTAATTATATATTTACCTACAAAAATAATATTATCTACAGAATTTATCAAGAATTTATAAAAATCTACATGAATTATAGCTCAACGGAAAGTTAAATGATATGCTAATTTATAGCACACGTCGATGTATAGTACGCTATATATAATTTGACGGCTTTTAATACGATATGCGCCAGTGATGCCTGGTACCGGTTAAATAAAGCTAACTTTAATAACTTGTTATTTAGCATAAGAATTTATAATTATATAGCCTGAGAATATATATAAAAACCTAAGGTTATAATTAATGTATAATATATTTTACAATTATGATTGCAAAGCAAAAAATATAACACTTCTTTAGCACTACGATAATACTCGGATACGGTAATACTCTACGCTAACATTAGTTAGACGTGTGTAATATGTAAAATCTTATTGAGGAATTACGTGTATATACGGCTAATTTGCGCTAAATCAAAGAATATAAATAATTAAGGAAAAATAAATATGGGAAATTACGATGAATAAATTATATATTAAGCATACCAGATTTCAAATAAGTATCTTAATTAATATACAAGTTATCACGTTTTTCCCTTCATATGCCTCTACTGTAAAGTTCACTTTTATGAGTTAACTTAGTATAAATTGCTGGTGTCGATATAGTCAGTAATCTGTGTTTCATACTTTCATACTTTATGTATTAAGGTTATAATAGTTTTTATTTATTTTTTCGATAACAGTGCATTACCTTTTAATGGGAGTGGTATTGTTATAATCGGGGACCAAACCTCTACCAAATAAAACACCTTACTCCCCCAAATTCCTGCCAAACAATTCTAATCCAACCCTAAACATATTATACATGTTATTAAAAATTCATGATTGGTAATTTTTTAATATGAATACTTTTAAAACATATATTTAAATTAGGTTAGGTTCCCCGGTTAAAACTAACTTCGTGTCCTAGAGGAAAATAGCTACTTACAATTTGACAACGCTTACAGCTTACTATCGCCATTTTGCTTACAAGCGCTTGCTAGCGCTTTTTTCTGCCAAACGCACCCACTATTTAAGAATTGTGTTTTTTTTTTGTTATGCAAAGGGAGAGACTTCAAATTTGTTTTTTTTTTAAGTTTATTAATGACAACATTATTAATATTTTATTTTGTTGTGTTACTACTCTGCAGTATGATTAGAAAATGTTAAAATGTAGAATTAAAATAGTAAATACTTAGGTTTTTGTTTAGTTTTAAATAGCTACCACAGATTTTTTTTTTACCAAAATTTTTCAATAAAAGTTATGTATGAACCTACTTATTTTATAATTTATTTGATTTACATACATATTATAAATCTGACGTGATGTTACGCATGGGAGAGAAACTAAGCCGATTAATCGACCATTTTAGCCGATTAATCGCCGACTAATCGGTGACTACAAATAGGCCGATTAATCAGTTTCACCGATTAGTCGGCGGCTAATTGGCCCAACTCTAGTAATAAATGATCCCACAGTCCATCTGATAGTCAGTGGATGCTGTGGCCCATAGACATCTACGTTTATCTTCATACAGCTAGTGGGCTTTGCCATATTATGATGGATTTTGTAGGTTTTAATATTTTTGCATGGATCCCTAATTCTTTTTTTAAAATATAAGTAGCCTTTTCTTATGACACTAGCTATATGCCAGTGAAAGTCCCGTTTAAATCAGTCCAGTCATTTCGGAGATTAGCCTGTAAAAACAGACAGCCAGACTAAAATTTTAAAATTTGTGTTTTTTCTTATAAGTACTGCATATACTTTCATGTTTGCATTTAGTAAAAAGCTGTTATTTTGACATTACAAACAGGGACTTCCAGGGGGATCCAATGAATTTCTGCATGTCTTACCAGGTTGTCACTCCATTTATTGGGGGGCATCGCACATGTTGCTTACCAGTATGAAGCTGTTTCTGGCTTCCCTATTGGTTATCAGTTCTTTGAGCTATATGACTTGCTCATAATTTAAAATATTGGCTATTGAATCAGCCTTTTCCTTTTTTTTATAAGTAAGGGTAAGCTATGGTATCTAAACTAAGCACTTGCTGTAAGTCTCACAGTATGCAAACTACCCAGGTTTGATCTTTGCTAGTACCAATGAAATTGTTAGTTGCGATTTTAAGTGCTGAATTACCACATGCTCGGCGGTGAAGGAAAACATTGTGAGGAAACCTGCATGTCCAAGAAATAATAAAAAAATTCTAAGACATCTGAAGTTTACCAACATGAATTGCAGCAGCGCGGTGGCACTTTTCCTTGCCCTTGTACCCTCTCACGATGAGAGGAAGCCTGTGCCTAGCTGTGGAATGTATATAAGCTGTAACTTTAACTTTAATTGCAATTATGTTATTGAATTGCACCTATATTTGTCCTCAATTAAAAATTAAAATGCAGATGTATTGTCACTGCTGAGGACTAAGATGTAATGCCTTATAACAATCCCACCACATGGAACACAAAAGTAATATGCTGCTATTTTGTGCTGGTGTCATAATCACATTCATTTATGCTACCACCATAATATGCTGCAACATGGCTTCATCGCATACATTTTTAAATGGTATTTCAACTATTGCAAAACAGTTATATTTTACTATGGTCGAGACATCCTCCATACTATGGAAGAAGCATATGTATGGTAAATTCCGGACGCGAAGCAGGCAGAATTTTGTATGTTGACCTGTTATTACCTGTCTCTGTCTCACTCCCGCGTAAGTATAATGCGTCTCGCTCGCACAGATGCAATGACCGCCGTCCTCAGGCATTGTAAACCTTTTACCTGAGACTGTAAGGTTTGGTTGCACATGGTATTTGGTTTGCCTGGAGGCACGACCAAAAATTCTTGGTTTGCTTGACATAATTAATAATTAACGAACAAACGACATCGCGATCACTCAGTTTACAGACACAGTTACCTCTGTTATCTATTCTTAGTTTGTTTTGTATGTTAATTTTAGTTATCTTGTTTTAATTGTTAAGTGGTTTTGATAAGTTTAATGTAGACAAAACTGTTGAGTCTTTTGTAATAAATGTGACAGGCGGAACATCATCAGAAAGCAGTAACTCCGATACAGAAAAATCGGATATATCGAAATACTTTTTTTATTTCTGAAAAATTAGTAATTATAATGGAAGACACACACGGTCATTTCAACTGATCATTCCGACTGATCAGCTTAAACTACGACTGTTAATATTTTTTTAAATATCGGATTTTCGATATATCTATAAATAAACTTATATATAAAACTCCGATATTGATATATTATATATTTATAATAATTGATTTATCGAAAATCCGATATTTAAAAAAATATCAACAGTCATAATTTGAACTGATCAGTTGAACTGACCGTGTGTGGCGACCATAACTTGATTTTTATGGGTGCTGGTAGGCACCCGAAACGTCAGAAATTAAAAATCATTTAAAGTTAAACGCGACAAAATACGTAAAAGTAGTTTTAATCAACTGTTTTTATACTAAAATCAAAATAAATATTTTTATATAACACCAATAAATTATTTAATACGATAGTAAATTTTTTTTCCATCAAATATTTCATAAAAACTACACTTAACACAAAAATGTTTGTGACCACTGTCGGTAGGCAAAGAGGTCATTACGAAATTCCTCCTGCTCCGCGACTGTACTTTAGGAGGTGTTTATATGCTGATGATGAGAATGAAGAGTTGTACACATTACCACAGATACAAAGGTACTCAATTTTTTATAACTGCCTGATGTAACCCGTACCTAATGTTCCTGTGATTGGAAGTAGAGCAGAGAATGGGCTCAAATTTCTTTTACTATATAAGTATAATGAAATAATACATAAAAAATATAAAATATAATAAAAATAACATTAGGTATTGATTTATAACTTAAATTCAGTCTTACATTTCAGTGAGAATGCTGAAGGAAATTTAGAAGTCTATGAAGAAATAGAAATTGAAGTCCCCAAAGAAGTGGTAAGGTGTTTCAACTTCACATAATGTGAAAATTATATATTCCAAGAATTTAATATTAATATTTTATGCTGTTTTTTCAGCCTTCAAAAGTTGGAAAGTCTGCTGAGAACATATCTCATGTCCCACTTAAAGACATTAATAAAGTAATCAGTGAACCTGCTAAAATTGCTGAAAAGAATTTAAAAACACCTCAGAAAGGTGGATTGACTAGTGAAACAAACACCGACTTGAGTAAAGATTCACATTCACAGTTTGAATCAAAAACTGAAGTAAATTTTAATGGAAAAGTGATGAAGTTCAGTGAAGCTCGAAAATCTCCTGTAGTAGGTAGTTTTACTCCTATGACATTTCACTCAACCCCTAACAAAGAAGGGATACCATTGACAAAGACTATGGTTGATCAACAGCTGCATCCTAATAGGCACTCTGATAACATTAAGAAGACCATAGAAGTTCACACAGATAGCTCTAAATTTAAAAATTTAGAGACTCCAGTTAAAATTAATAAGGATATTTCTGATTTCATTCAAACATCAGAAACAGTGAATATTGAAAAGGAAAGTAAACTAGTAACTGAGGAAGAAAGTATGGGAGAGCAAAAACAGACCGATAAATTTTCAGCTCAAGATGGTCATCATGATAATAAAAGTCTGAAAATTAAGGAATTAAGCAAAGGAAAATGTAAAATTGAAGAAGATGTAACAAAACCAGAAGTGGATAGTAAAGTAACACAATTAATTACAGTAAACCAAACTGAAAAAACTGTAACAAATGAAGTTGATGGTCTTAAAAATCAAACTAGTGATTCTGCTAAAACATATGTTTTAATAAATAATGAAAAATATCAAACTGATGGCACGAAGAACATTGTTAGCAAACAAGATATAAAAGTCTTAGAAAGTAGTGAAACTGTTACTAATGAATATAATACAGAAAAATCTTTATCTAATGATTTAACAGCCCAGGGTAATAATACAGAGAACAAGAACTGTGCACAACAATGTGCAAATAATCCCATTAAAAGTATTGCATGTAAAAAAGAAGAGGCAAAGCAAGAGCATGAAGCAAAAATCATGCATGAGAAAGAAAATCTAATGGAAGCTCTTGATGAATCAAATTTTAACCAAGACACTACAGCTCAACATATAATTAAAAATATGCATAGTGGTATTAGACCAATTAAATCTGAAACAGACTGCACCGAGATTTCTAATTGCTTAAACACTAAAAATATAGCCAATATAGGACAGCATGCAGAAATTGAAAGCACTAATACCACTCAAGATTTAAATGCAATTCAACAAACGAAAACCACAGAAACTGTTGAAGTAACAAATAATGTAGTACACAACATCATAGATACTTCTAACGTAATATCGGAAAATCATGATAAGAAAAATGTAAATACTGGGACTCGAAAGTTGAATTTAATTATACATGAAAGTCAAAATAATGATGTAATGAGTATAAACAAATCTATTAAAATAAGCCCGAATAATGACGCAATTACAAAATCTAAAGATTTAGTGATAAATTCAAATAATATTCAAAACAGCTTGAATTCTAATGTAGTAAAGGATGAAAAACATTCGATTATGTGTCAAAAAGAAAAAAGTGAAACATCTCAAATAAGTTGTAAACTTCAACCAAATAAGAAGGATGAATCAACTCAACTTAATAAGGTTGTAGCAGCACCTAAACCTCTAAATAATAACCATGCAGCAGTTCCCTTTGGAAAATGGACAGAGGCTAATAGACAAGAGTTTTTGAATAAAATAAAGGAAACTAAAGTTCCTACAAATCATTCCAATACTAAGCAGTTAAAACAACCAAATGATTTAAATAGACGAGATATTTTACAAAAAATTGATAGTCAAAGACAACAACAAACTCACAATGCAAAAGTAAAAGTTCAAGAACAACAAAAATTGAATATAAATAACGAAGCCTCTGCATTTGTTAAAGCGTCTATTAAACACGATACGAAAATACCTATTAGAGAACGTCCAACCTCAAAGACTAAACCGATATGTAACAAAAAAAATACCAAAGATGAACTCCTGCAAAACCAAGAATCTGAACCTTCCAATTTACTATCAAACTCATCCATACTAAAAAAGGAATCGAGTCAAAGAACAGAAATAAACAACCAAGCTCTAATTGACAAAACCATTGAAGACATAATAAACAGAGTTCCCCCTGTTAAAACATCAAATGAAGATTCCAAACCAAATATCATAAATACTGATGGAATAGAAAAACAAAAAGGTATGACTCTATTTGGGCCATCATATCATGCTAAAAATGAGCAGTCAGTAACATTAGACGATATAGAAATGAAAATGAATGAATTGCATGGAATTCCTTTCGTAGAAAGACCTGCCCATGAATTGCCTCAAAAATTAACTGCCGATAATCAGATACAACCGCAAAAAACTGAAAACCAGAAAAGTAATCAAAAAAACTTCAATGCTTCTAACCAAGAGCAATTTGCGAAAAACTCTCAACAAGTTTGCAGTGAAATTGTTAATATGGATTCAGATGATGAAATTATTGAACACGAACCAATCACTGGAGATATAGATACAGGGAAGAAAACATCGGATGCTATAGAAAATGTACCAGATCAAGCAAAAATACTTGATGAATCTAAAAAAGATGTCATAATAACTGAAAAAGATTTTGATAAATTTTTCCGGGGAAAATCTGTTACCTATGAAAATTGTCTAACTGTTAATTTTGATAGTAAAGAACCACATAATGTTGTACAAACTGCTGTGGAAAAAGAAATACCTCAAAAAAAATTGACGAGGAATGAAGTTTTGCTGGCTGAATCAAAGGCAAAATCCACACACAAACAACAATTGATACAGGCACGTCTCAACCACCCAACAAAAATACCCACGTCTGGTAAATATCAAACAGCTGAAGACGAATCTTATGGTAAGAATTATCAATCGAAACTACAAATTGCATATCAATCTGCACTAACTGCCAAACGCCAAAAAGATTGCCCAATTACAATTATTGAAGAAAAACCGGTAAAAGTTGTATTTATGGATTCCAATACTGATTTTGTGCCATGTCAACTAAATGTTCATGGCGAAAATTTATCACCAACTAAACAAACTATTCCAGACCTGGATACTTTTACGCATAGCACTACTGATTCCTTAGACTCTGACATTTTCGATAACTTTGACAGTAAATCACAAGATGAATCAAAAACTAAGAGCAAACATCAGAGAAAACAAGTTTTGACTCCAGTTGAGACGTCAGAAATGGAGTTAATTGAACCTAGTGATCTTGGGATAGAAATATCACCTAAGAAAAAACGTAAAATTGAAGACAAGATTGAAAAAAGTCCAAGAAATCATGTACCAAAGAAATCATATCTTTTAGGGCGAGCTGCTACAGATGATTCAACAAAAACGCAGAATGTATCTAAAACTTCATTTAAAGAAATCACTAACGAAAATAGTCCATATGTAGGGCAATCAAATCCAATATCTGCAATAGATAACTTAGTCAAAGCTGCAGAGTTATTAGAGAACCAAGCTGAAAATATTATTAGTTCCATAAACACACCAGATTCTGACTCTCAACAAAATACGCCTGTTAAGAGAGGAAGAGGTCGTCCCAGAAAGTATCCTCTTCCAGATGGCGAGGTGAATAAAATCAAGGCTCCTAGTCCTCAAAAGAAACCAAGATTAATTGACGCGAAAGTGATCAAACGTGAAGATACTGATGTAGACGATTCTAGCGATGACGGAATCATAAAAGAAAATTGGACAATGGGTAAAATAAATGAAAACATTGTATGTCCTATATGCAACAAACTTTTTCGATCAGAAAATGTGGTTTTTAAACATGTTAAACATTGTACAGGTCCATCTCCAAACCGATCTGAATCTGATAAAAGAAGTTTTAGAGAGTCACAGGAATCAGAAACGAGATCAAATGAAAGTAAATCTGATGATATGGATATTGAGGAGCAGGAAGTAAGAACACCTAAGAAAAAAGAATCTAAGGAAAGCATTCTTAAAGTTCCAACTAACTCAGATGAGGTCATCATTATTGAAGATACTCCTCTAAAGGAGAAGCCTGGGAAACATCATGAGTCAAGAAAGTCAACAGTAAAGACTAAAGTTATTCATATACCAAGCAAGAATTTAATATGTGAAATTTGTGGAAAAACATTCAGGCAGTCGTCGTATTTAGCTCATCACAAATTACAACATAAAAATGAAGAATCAAAAAAACACGAGAGTGTCGTCAATAAATCCGTTTTCAGCTGCGAAGTATGCAAAAAGGTATTTAGAAAGTTGCATCACTTAGTTCAACATAGAATTATTCATAACCCTCATTCTGTGTCCTCAAGAATGCTCAGAAAAACTTCATCAGAACATAGCGAAAACAAAGTCGTTAAAAGCCAGAGTGGAGTAAAGCAAACAGAAGATCAAAGTGCAGGCTTCCGCTGTGAGCCTTGTGACAAATCATTTAGAAAATTGCACCATCTTGTTGAACATAGGGAGACTCATGATGGAATTAACAGACAAAAAGCAAGTGAAATAGATATTAATAAACCAACTTTAATACACCAATGTGATATTTGTGACAAAACATTTAAAAAACTTCAATTATTGAATGAACATAAAGAACAACATTTAGATACATGTTCAGAAAAGTCAGATGATAAAAGCGTTAAGAGTTCATTGTCCACCAAAGACATAATACATGAATGTTCATTGTGTTATATGGTATTTCCAAACGAGTACTCTTTAAATAAACATACTGTAATTTGTCTTAGAAAAAAGAAGCAATCTGCTGCAAAAGCTAAATTAGCTGCAGAAAATAAGGAATCAGAAATAGAAAAAATTGATTCTGAAACACCCAAACCAGAAAAATGTAACCCAAATATAACTGAAGATTCCTTAATTATAGTTGAAGATGATAGCTCCACGTTTAAAGATGTGAATGTGAAGGAGGATAAATTAAAAGAAGATAAACCAGAAATACTTGAAAATCCAGAGGTTATGCATATCATAAAACTTTCAGGAGAACAAAATATTGTTGAGCCTCAAATTAAAAATGGAGAATCGTTTAAGTCTAAAGAAAAAACGCCTGTAAAGACGGTCATGGGGTTAAATATAAATACGGATACAATTCCGCCCTCTGAAATCCCTATAAAGTCAAAACAAATTGATGAGGATGCGATGTCGAAAACTCAAAAAACACCGGTTGTTAAAAAAATAACACCAGCTAAAGACAAAGTGTTTCCAACTGTTACAAAGCGTGAGAAAATTGTAAATGTACCTTTACCAGTTATTGATGAAGCCACGCCTTCAGCAGAGTCAATAGATGAAGATGAGATAAGGTACATGCTTAATCCAAATTTTAAGCAAATAGAAACTGTGGGAACGAAGAACTTATTGAAAGTCAAAGCCAAAATACGCAATTCTCTACAGGTTGAAAGACCTAATTCAAAGGATTTAGTGAAAAGAAGGGTTTCCTTACAGAATCTGCCTAAAATCTCACGGTTAAGGAATAAGCCATTAGAACAAAAGTTGACCGCGCCAAGTACTTCAACAGCCTCAAAATCAACTATTGTTAAAATAGATAAGCCAACTGTTACGGAATCTACATTTTCCACAGACTCTGATGACAGTGATATCAAATATTCTTTTCCTGAGACAGTTACTAAACATGTAGATACAAAGATAATAGTCGAAAAGAAGCCAATGAAAAGACAATCTCTATCATCAAAGAGGAAGTCATTAAATGGAGTTGCAAAACGGAAGGCATTGGGACAAGTGATCGTTTCGAAACATAAACAGAACACTCCACCAGCAAAACAAGTAAAAAAACGTAAGTATCTTGTAATATAAAAAATACATCAAATGGCGTGCAAAACTTGAAAGATTTGCGCAAACTCGACAAGTAACTATACATTGCTGCTATCCATCCCCAGGCTGTAGCTTTTTTTTCTAGGGTTTGGTATTTAATTAAAGTGTAACACAATAAAGATTAAAATATTAGAAGAATAAAATGAATGCTGTAGAAATGCGGTCATGCGAAGTATGTTAGGGTTGATTTTGAATGATAGAGTGAGAAATTGAGAGAAAATTGTGGTATGCGAGTTGTGACTAGTATTATGAAAATCATGCTTTAGTAGTTTGGACATGTGAGAAGGCCGAATGAGGAAAGATTGACAACGCTAATTATGCTGCAGAAGTGAGTGATAAAAGCAGCAAGGGCACCCTGGTAGGTATCGACTAAATTGGCAATATATTGAAGGGGCCACATTAAGACTACCCTTAACAGACATAGATATGTGCATGCCAAAGAATTGGAAGAGGTGTGTCAGTATTGTGCCAAATAGAAGTCCGTAGTCTCTGCCTACCCCTTAGATTAAAGTGTAAACACAATAAAGATTAAAATTAATATTTTTGGGACTCCGTCACATAAGTCTCCTTCATTCCAGAATAACATATCCCCTCGTCTGTCCAAACGCCATATTCTGGCGTCTCAAATAATATGCGCATCTGTCAAACGCCATAATATGGCGTCGAGTGATAGCAAACTATTTGTAACATATATATATAACATATATATCTGTTATGCATAATCTGATAGCTTATTTAATAATGTTTCCCTTGATATATGATTTTAATATACTTAGTATGTATATATATATACATATATATATATGTATATATATATACATATATATATATATATATACTTAGCATTCTTGTTATATACTTACTTAGTACTTCGGAAAGTGCTCGACAGATGCGCCATATTGGCCAAAATGACCCCGACATTCGAGTGACTAAGGATTTGGAAAATATTCATAAATTTCTTGGCATAATTAATATATATATTAACTAAATTATATTATTTATAATTATTTTATTAATTACTGTGTAGTAGCGGGTAGCGGCGTAATAATATCCACTACCCTTTAATATTGTCGCATGGGTTTCATTAGAGACAACAGAGGGAAGTTGAAACAGGAGATAGGTAGCATCTTTCTGAGAACAAACAAACATAACAAAAATACTGCCGTTGCCAACCCATCTGCCTAGCGTGGCAACTGAAACTTCCTATGTTTCAGTTGCCACGATAGGTAGACATGTATTGTAAAATCTATAGGGAGGGCCTGTGCTCCATCGTGGACTTTCCTAAAAATTAATAGATGGATGGAATTAATAATATAACATAACATAACCACTCACGCCTGTCACCCAGAGGGGTAGGCAGAGACTACAGACTTCAGTTTGGCACAATCCTGACACACCTCTCTCGCCTCCTTCACATCCATATACCTACGTATACATGCTCGTCGGTTAAGGGTACTCCTAATTTGGCCCGTTTTCAATAAATCGCCAATTTGGTCGATTAATTATCACCTAGGATGTCCCTTTCTGACTCTGCCATTCACTTCTGCAACGTAAATTTTCTTTGTCACTCTTTCCTCATTCATTCTTTCCACATGACTAAACCACCGAAGCATTCCTTTCTTAATCCTGGACACATCATTTTGCAAACCACACTCTTCTCTTACCACACAATTTCTCACCCTGTCATTCAGATTCAGCCCTAACATACTTTAATAACATTCGATCTATTTTCATTTTGTGTTTATGAGTCTCAATTCTTACATATTAAAGCCATTCCAACATGCAATTAGCCCGACATGATCCTGATAAAATTGATTTTTGTAGCTACAAAATAACTTGCTAACACTTTTTTGCTAAAAATAAGAAACTAATAAGAACCGATCATCCACCTCTAATTATAGCTAAAGAATATATAAATAACATCCGATCTAAATTAAAGCTATTAATAGGAATTTTAAGAAAATTAGCTAAATGTTTCCCACAATAAATTACAAATCTATTATATAATACTCTTGTTAAGTTGTATTTAGGACATCTAAGTTTGGGGAAGTGCCGCAAAAACCAACCTAGTTGTACTACAGTGAAGTCAAAATAAGGCTATAAACACAGCACCATTAAGCTGGTATTCTGTGAGAGTGTGGTCCTACTCCGATCGAGCTGACCCATTCGTGCTGCAACCACAATATAGCTGCAGCATGGCTCTACCACAAAAATGACATAGGAAAGAAAAGCATTTGTTTAAGGGAATGCAACTCTACAACAAGCTGCCTAATGATGTGAAAGAATGTAGCACTATTGCATTAAGTTAAATTGCTTATCCTAATTTCGATTTAAAAATAAGCAAACTGTATATTGTTCTTATGTTATACATAAATGTCTTTAATCTAAATTAAAAAAAAACATAGCAGTTCTGAAACTAATATAACATAAAATGTTACATTTAAAAATCTATCTCATTTTGTTATATTCAATGGGACAACTATTTGATATTTTTCAAGGATGTTAAAATCGGTAGGCTTACAGGATTACATAGTTTTTATATTCAATTTTATTTTGTAAAAATGATTTTTCTAACAATTCAAAAGGTTACTTTAATATAAATAGTTTAAATAACATCTGTTCAAATTTTTCCCAGGCACAACCGAAGTGGAACATAGGTGTGATTGCGGTCAACTTTTCAGCAGTGCCGCGCTACTGTCGCGCCACACCACGTTAGACCATACCCCTCCTCGAATTCGTCGTCGTCGATCGCCGGTCCCTGTGATCGACACAAAAACAATTACCAAAAAGGTCTCGCATAAACCCATTAGTGAAAAACTCAAGCCAAATACAGACTTAAAGAAATCAAGTGGCCAGGGAAGTACAGACTCAAGTAAACCTGGTGTAGCTACAAGGAAGTCTAGTATGAACAACAGTGATGATAAAGCATCCAGTGAAAAAGGCAAATTGGTGAAAAGTGTACCAAGCGTGAAATTGCGTAGGAGTGCTGCGCACAAAGGTGTGCCCCTGCCGGAGAAGATGAGGAAACTTATGGATAAACCTAAAATATAATGTTCCATTTCGGCCTTACTGAGTAGTTGATAAAAAAAGATTTCAGGACAATTCTCAGAGTCTTGACGTTTAGTTTAAGGATAGGTGAATTGCTAGATATCTAGATGAAATCACGCATTGACAAGCGCTCACAATAATGTAACAGATGGACCATTGTATCATAGAGATATTTTTAAAAATACGGTGATTTTAAGGTACATACATCAGATTACAAAATATTTTTTATTGTGAGTTGGGACGATGAACTTGTCGATATGTATATTTGCTAAGTTAAGAATTATATCATAATTATATTTTGTCAATTTGTTTTAGATATTAAGTATGATGTATGAATGTTGATATTTATATTGTTGTTTTTAGGATATTTCATTGCATTCATTCTTCGTAGGTGCAGTGCAATTACAGTCAAACTGCTCTATTATGTTTGGGGCTGTCCACAAAACAAAAACAAACTTAAATACTTTCTCCAAATTGTTTCATGAGTCAATATTTGATAATCGGTCGAAAACGACTACAGAAAAATAATATATTTTTTGTCGTATTTTATATATAATTACTGTCTAAGTAATAGAGCCAAGTTAAATCTATATAATAACTATCAAATCGATACACTTTATTCGATTTTAGGGATTTTTGAGCAATATTTGCAAATATACAGAACAGGAAAATGACACTAGTGGCAGGATAATGAAATGGACCTACAGACTGATGACAGGACACCAGGAAAATGATTGAAACATCAAGAAAATGAAAATAATCCATTATTAGTAATTTTTATATTCATTATTAATCCAATAATAATAATCAGTATAACAGAAAACAAAATTATATCACTCTTCTTAAAGTTTTATAGAAAATACAGTTATATTTAGTAAGTAACATATTTGACCAGATTTATTAAGAACTTTAACTTACTGTATTAATCAACATATATCATCACGCCTCTTTCCTTGTACCTTTATTTTATATTCTACCTGTATTCAATAATCAACAAATAAGTAATATTCTTTCATTTAAGAGTAATTATGAATAGCTAAATCAAATACAGAATTTTTAATCAGTTACTTGAAGAACGTATAATTATACTATAATAATATAATTAGTTACATTTCAACTTTAATAATAGTAAAATAAAGAGAAATAATGTTTTTTCATTTTTAGTAGTAACAAAATAATAGTTTATAGAAAAAGAGCAAGACCCGACAACAAAGCTATTTTTCGAATACATCTAAAGCATTTGGGAACTTATAAAAATATGTTCTCCTTTGAGTAATAAAGAAGGTTGAGGTAACTTCAAAAGTATATCTTCAAATGGCATATCATGGCAATTATCATCAATTTTAAATAGTTTACCATCATTACCAGTGGTTTTTAAAAATGTAACTCTGATTTCTCCATCTTCTTCATCTACTTCTCCCATACACACAGCAACATATCTATATTCCGTATTTTTAGAGCTACATTTAACAAGAATATAGTCGCCATTGTGATAAATTACATTTTCTTTTCTTACAATGTTAGATGAGCTAGTTGTCGCAACGTGATCTTCAACAGCATCAAAATTTATACTTGAAGTATTTGGATCGATATTTTCTTTGGGTGTTTGAATTTCGCGTTCATTCTCTGACTCTGAACTTGTGTAAATGTGTTTAGCCTTTTTAGCATTGACGTTATCCACATAATTCAAAGTGCCCATCAAATAATGTTCACAACCAAACATATTCTCACAAAAGCAACTCAAGGAATTTCATTGTTAATTTGAAGCTATATTTATTATCGATTACTAGATGGACTTTTAAAGTTCCCGAATAAGGCTTAGATGACTTTCCAATCAATTTAATTTGAGAATGTTCGTAATCTTGTTGCGTCACTGTTATAATTTTAATGTTGGGACAGTTTTCTTCTAGAACCGTTTGTAATTTTTTGATATCGACTAAGTCTTCACCTAAAGCAACCATTCGATCGGCAGTGCGTTTCCCTTTCCGTGCCCAGCCTCACTATAGTTCCAAGAGAAGAAAGTGTAATTTTCATAAAAATATTTAAGTCTGTTTGCAAGAATAAAGAACATGAACCGATTCCTATACTGGGTAACGGGCCCAATGCTAAGAAAATGCAAATTTGTTACAGATTTTAAATTCGTGGAAATCCAATCAAATATAGTGTGAAGGTGAGCCATATGGCATAAGCATCATGATCTAAAAACTCGGAAATAGTACAGAAACTTTGACACTCTAATTGATTGTTTGTTTTCCAGTATACAACACCTGTGTGTAGAGATATTTGACTTCTCGAACCTCCAAAGTGAAAAGCTTGCACTTCTGAACTATATTTTGTAGCGTAGTTCTCACTAAAATCAACATAAATAAGTACATCATTTTCAGACATATTATCTTCAAGTTTCTTTATGGCAGCATACTGATGAACAATATTTGTATGATGGTTTAAGAAGATAGGGACAACATTTTCGAATTGTTTTCCCCATCTTCTTATATATAATTTTATTAGATCTGTTTCTCCTCCTTCCTTCCTTTTTTCAGGTAGAACATGTTGTTTGGACAGGACTTTATACTTCTTAACTACATCTCCAGAAATAGCTTTGGCAAATACCTGTTTTTCAGCATGACTTCCAAGTTTGGTATAATTTTGAGATAGCTGTTTTGACATAACTTCACTGAATAACAGTCTCTTCTTTATTTCGGTTATATCCCCCTTTTTAATAATTTCATTGGTTTTGTTTCTCGGACTGTCTTTTTTGCACTGTATCTTTATCTAAGAAATAATTCTTTGGTGTTTTTTTAATTGGTTCTTTAACTTAATTATAGTTCTGCCCTGTTCTTGTAACAGTACGTTTTTTACGTTTATTTATTTCTGATCTCCAACGGCCTTCTATTATTCGTCCATCTAAAACCGGTAACTCTTGGGATATGACTGGAATTATGTTCTCATGATTCATAGAGACTCCATTATCAGATTGTGGTGGAGTTGTATTTTCTTGAAATAAAGTAGTGTTTGCCAAAAGATTTTTTTCTTTTCCCTATATTTTGCTGTATTTTTCACTCTTTTCTTTTGGCTCTTTTACACCGAGGAGTTAATTCAGCAATGTTTTTTAATTTTACCCTCCGCTTTTCTTTTTAAATAGTGTTCTATCTTCTTTTGTTTCAATGCGTTTCTTCATTATCGTTCTTGATTCGTTGGTATCTCATTTTATCCAATTCTCGCTTTCTTTCTAACACTTCTTCTCGGGCTTTTTTCTTTGGAGCCATAATTATTGCACACTGAAACAAAATTACAATAAATTAATAACATTACTTACCTTGTGTTGTCATTTTCCTGTCATTTTCCTGTCAAGAAAATAACAGGAAAATGACAAAAATGCACATTATATTTCTCATAGATTCTAATAACTAATATAACAGCAAAATCATCAGGTGATACGAATTATATCTTAATTCGTGAATGTTTATTACAAAAAGCAGAATAATGTACTTACGATTCACCTCCTAATTGCCTCACAGGTAAATGACAAAGTGTATCAACTATACGCACGCACATGCCATAATCAGTTTGCAACGCCGAAGCAACGGCCGACACCGCGTCTCTCTTCTCACCAATCACAAACATAGACACCGCGTCCATTTAGAATGCGCTCATTCGTTGTCCGCGACATTATAAAACGCGATAAATTCGAATTTAAATTTCGGCAGACTAATGACGCCGTAACCATTCGTCTAGATTTTTTATGATTTTTTTTTTAGTTTAATATCATATTATCTTAAATAAAATATTGAACAGTTTTAGATTAATGTGCATACAATGTAAATATAATCAAGCTTTTATAATTTATTTTTAATTCTCCATGTTATTATTAAAAAATGTCACCAAAAAAGGAAAATTCCACCGACAGGAAATATGACATCTAGCACTTTTTGTTTATTTTTACTATATGAAAACCAAATATATACTCACCAAAGTGTTTGGATATGTAAACAAAGTATTGCACTACATTACGAAAATACTATAAAGTTTAAATATTACACTAAAATTACAAAATAGTTATGGGGACCTGTTTTGGCCAATTATCAAATATTGACCCTCATAGAGCTTTTATAAGGATTTAAAGGGACAATATTTCAATTAAATTGAAATAATATCTCATTTATCCAGTTGTTTGTCATACAAATTTTAGTATGTGCGTGAGTGTTAAATGTAGTAAATAAGTATTAAAATACCTGCATTAGGTTGGATAAGAGTTAAAAGTAAATGTGGGTTTTTGAAACAAATATATATTTTGATACTTGAATTGTAATGACAATTGTGATAATATAACAATCAAGTAATTACAAATAAAATTTAAATTTAACGAAAGTACTCCCAAATTCATGGACAGCTCATAGACATTTCTGGCATGCAATTTGATTTTTTATTGATTAAAACAACGTTTAATTTTACTTTTAATTATTTTTATTTTTAATTCCCGACGTTTCGTGTTAGGATAAACAAGCCAAAATAATAATTTATAGTTCTAAACATCGGAAATAGTCGCAGTTTTATAAACGAAGGTAGACATATCTCAATAGTTGTTTTGATGTGTAAAAATGAATTTCATGAGCTTATATAGGACATTATTTTACTAATTTTGTTTTATAGAATGAATATGCTGTAGTGAATGTAAGAGCTTCCCATTATGATTTATTAGTGCTTAGTAGTATGATTGACCATTATAAATAAGCATTAAACTAATGTCTACAATCGAATTTTTCTGAATGATGTATCGTTATAAATGTAACAACTCTATTTGAGACCAAAAATTACTATTTTTGAAGAACAAATTTCATCTCGTATTGTTACAGTCACTTAACAGTAATCTCATATTTTAGCAAACAGAAATTAGTAAGTATAAAGAAGCTAGCATCTTCAGTTTGACTAAATACTTTCAAGTTTTAGCAAACTAGGACCAAATTTAAGTAAATATGTGTTGTTTTTAATTTTAATTGATGTTT